TTACTTTGGAATTTAATTAGATTGTCCCTTGCCACTTTAGGTGGGGTTTTAGAAGAGCTTGGCACATGAAAGGCCATCTCAACAAACACATTCTTGACGCGACTAGATTGCTGCAAGAATACAATTAAATGCCTTAAAATGTTTATAAAGTCTAAAAATGGCTGTCATACCGATGGAGTCTTTAGTGACACAATGGGAGGCCAAGTTCCTAACAGCTTTTGCGAGATCTGCTATGAGAAGTGGCATGTATATTCACCAGGCCTGTTGACCCGAAGCTCTCACGAGCCAATCTACTTCTGGGCCAAGAGCCAAGATGGACGTTGTGCCCATTAGCCATCCACAACATGGGAGGACTGCCTGCGGAGCTTGAGTCCCAATGGATGTTAACCCTGACACAGGAGTGTAGGGGTTCGGTGGTGTTCAGGTAACAGCTTTTTGACTTGCATAACTTTTATGATCTCTTTCTTTTTTTTTTTTTTTTATTCTTTATTTTATTGTGCTCATAAAATACATAATAGCAGGTAATGCCACAACAGCATGCACCAGCCGAGATGTCAACATTTCAAGACAATATTGGGCATTAGTGTACATTGCACATTTTTATGGTTTAGGTTGCAAGTTTATAAACAAAAACAGTATACATCACTTGTACCCCACGTGAGTGAGTTAATTAAGTGTAAGTCTAGATTTGTGTTGGACAGGTGAGGGGTCCCCCTAACCCTAGAGCTGTGTGTGCGTGTTTGAGGTTGGACTGAACCATTGACTGGTAGAGAAAGACCGGGGTGGGGGGGGGAGGGAGAAAGGCTACTCCACTATGACTGTGAGCGGATTGGTAGAGCCTGGCTGTAGTTGTGTTGTGATAGCCTATATGTGTGTGAACTTGTTGAGTTCTTCTGTGTGGTCGGCCTATTTGTGTGTGGCTAGTTCCATCGGCTGTCTCATGGATGTGGAGCAGCTCTAGGTCGCTAAGCAAGGATTGCATTTAAGTAAGAGTAAAAATAAGAATTGTAACTTTCAACGAAAATAAAACATCGGAAATGTAACTGATAGACCTTCTAGCAGCGGTCTCAAACTATGTGAGGAACGTTCTTGGTGGAATAATAGTGACCCCATAGCTTGGGCTGTCCCTTGTGTCTCAGGTGGGGTGTCTATTTGGCAATGCCTTCTGGGTCTCCCTCGGGGTGAATTCCCGTATAGTCGCTAGGTCGAGCTGGGACAGTCCTGTGCCTTTCGTTGGTGCTGCTGGGATTATGCCCATGGTTATGAGGAGTGACTCTAGTTCCTGGAAGATCTGCGCTTTGTGAGTTATCCCGTTGTGGGTGAAGAATACTGCTTGCGGTGTTCCCCATCGGTAGGGCATCTCTTTGGCTCGGAGGTGCTGCAGGAGAGGTTGCATAGATTTCCTCCAGGTAAGGGTGCTCTTGGTAATATCTGGGAAGATTGTTAGAGTTGTGCCCTCAAACGGCAGAGGTGTCTTGTTTCGCAGTGCAGCTAGGAGAGTAGCTTTGTCCGACAGGGATTGGAAGCGCAGTATGAGGTCTGTAGGTGCGGCCGCTGGAGCTCTTGCCGGCTTTGGTAGTCGGAACATCCCGTCTAATCTCAGGGATTTCATTTGTTTAGGTGGAATTAGGGCTCCCAGGAACCGCCTAATGTAGTGGGGCAGCTCAGAGAGGCCAACTAAGTCGGGTATCCCTCGGATTTTTAAGTTGTACCTCCTCCGCTGATCTTCTAAGGCGTCTAGCCGTTCCGTGGTGGCGGTCTGCTGCTTCGTCAGATCTGCCATTTGTTGTTCCACTTTGGCTAATCTGGAGTCCTGTGTACTCGAGCAGGCCTCCAGCCGCGAGATTTTGGACTGGGCTCCTTCTATGGCCTCTCTATAGTAGGCCATGTCCGCCGCCAGGTCCCTGCGCAGATCAGCCAGCATTTTCTTTAATTGCTCTGCTGTGACCGGTTCCCCAGGCGCTTTAGATGTATTGTTATGTTCTGGTGTGGGACCGAAGCTCGCTCCCTCCATGAGGTCTGTGTCAAACTCCTCCGAGGAATATGAGGCGAGGTCGTCCGCCATTTTGGACCACACGGCTTGTTGTGTGTTCCTCAACATGTCGCCGATGTCTCTGCCGTGAGTGCCTTTCTCTGCTTTTGCCTTTTTAGAGTTCCGGCCCATGGTCTGCAGTGAGGCTTAGGAAGCTGTGTGGGTTCTTTTGGGTCTGGTTCCACCATGAAAAGGGTACTTTTATATTGTGTTTTAATTGGAGTTCACAAAAGCGTGACCGCTCTGATGCGCTGCTAGCTCCGCCCCCGATCTCTTTCTTTTTAATTCTGTCTTTCAACGTTTTTATTTAGTTTATATCTTTGTTTTTATGGTTCCTTTTTAAGTTTTATTTATACAGTATGGTTTCTCAGTATTTTATGTGTTATCCATATGTTCTCCTAATCATTATTGATTTTTATATACTTTATAATTTATTTGTTTCTGATATATATTGTTATCTCTTACATGTCCCTTAATACTTCTCTTATCATTCCTATGGCACTGTTTATTTTTTCCTCTCTATATACTTAACTAGATGCAATCTGCATAATTTCCCCATATTTTTTACTCACCTTCCCCTTATATTAATTATATTTAATAGCTGCCTACCAGTTGCCTGAGGTTTTTTTCTCCTATTTGTTTTTTATTTTTATATTTATATCATTATTACCACAGTCCCCAAGATAAAATATGTGCATCGCTTAATATCCTATTTAGTGTTCCGGGAGTCACGTGACTTGCCTCCCTTGCCTGCTATGCACATTCCCCACCTCAGACTACAGCTCCCAAGATGCATTGCGCAATTCCCAGTGCGCAACGTCATTGATGACATCAGATACTCGCGAGTCACATGACCCGCTAATTTGATTAATACTAGACACAAAACCTTTGTTTTTAATACTCTATATTAATTTCAGAAACAGTTACACTTATAATCTTTATATTTCTCTTCAACTTTTATGCATGTGTTTGTATTCTTTTATTTCATTGGCTGCTGATCTATGATGTATATTTGGCGCCAATATTAATCATTTAGATATCTGTATAAACTCTGAACAGCCAGATTTTACCCCTTTGGGATGGCGGGCGTGCTATGCAGTCCTTGGGGACCCAGCTCTAAATGCAGGCGGGCGGCATAGCATGTCCCCGCCGTCCTATGTAGTTACCCGCTCACCGGTGATTCCACACCGGCGATTGCGGTGGGGAGGACTCACCTGGCATCCCAGGGAGTCCCCTGCTGCCTTCCCGGCCCACTGGGCCATGTGATCGCGAGGTCCTTGCGAGGACCTCACAATCACATGGACGGAATAGCCGTCCACAGCAGTGCCAGCAGGGTGAGTGCTTGGAATGACAGGTAGTCCCCTTGCTGCCTGAAAAAAGTTAAAATAAAAGTTAAAAATGGTTTAAAATAAAATTATATATACTTAGATCATATATATATGTATTATATATATGATCTAAGTAAATATATATATATATATATACAATCAAAATACACGTAGAATGATATTGATTAAATATATATATATAATTCTAATATATATTTATATATAATAAAAAATAAATATGTAAATACGGTAAAAAATAAAAAAAATACGTGTAATTTTGTTCTAACTGTATTTCGTTTTGTTTTTTGAAAATTCGTTTATTTATTTATTTATTTGTAGGTTCAGCATATGTAAAGTAGTAAGACTCGCAGGTCTAGTCATGTGTGTAATAAAAGCATAAAAGCATAACATAAGTAAAACTGGTGATCCATGAGAAAAACATAAATCTTGCAGGCCCATTAGCCTGCTTGTTTACGGTATGAGTGGACACGCAGGTCCGCATTGACTTTCTGAAAAGTGGATCTAGTTACTCTCACCCCACAAAAGGGAACATATATGCTTTATTCTTTTATAACATTGAAAAACTCCAGGTAGCAATCATAAGCGGGGGCTTGACATAACATGTAACTGATATTCAGTGCTCGGGTCTAGAGTTTCCCTGTGACTGTTACCTATGGCAGAGCTCGTGTGGCGTTCGGGAGTCCCTGCACCCAATTGTGGTGCCCGATTCCCTGTATCCGGTCACTGTGTGGTAATTATCGTAGTTCTATTTAGCATGAATGTTACTCTTGTACGTGAGAAAGACGAGTTATGTGTCTATCTAACTGCCAGATGTTCATCATGTTTGCTATATTCCCGTCTAAGCGCCGGGTATCTAAACCACAGAGTGTCCTGGGTCTCCGCGCCTTGTTTAAATCTCCGTGTGTTTGTTAGTATCCATCTATAAATGTACGTTTGTTCATCCCTATTACCCTTCTGGTGTATTGTGTGATTTGTTTGTCTCCCCGGGCTCCGGTATGCAAATAGAAAGGGTAAGGAAGAGGTTAGAAACAGGAGGTAGTGGCGGTCAAGCCACTTTGGGTGTGCTCCCTCCAGCAAGGCTCGCCCCAGCCTGCGTCCCCGCCTCGGCCCCCGCACGTCTCCATCCCTACGGTAACGGGAAATGTATAAGAACCACGGCGTCCACATCTCCGCGTGCCTGGCTCCTCGTCCCGTCACAGTAGCATGTGCTTCTTCTGCTCCCTGGATCTCTTCTACTCTACGGATCCACTCTTTTTTGGTAGGAATTTCACTTTTTTTCCAGTGGGCTGGAATGTTGGCCTTGGCGGCATTAAGCAGGTGTAGTAATATCGATATCTTGTATGACGATATGGATTGTGTCGAGATGTGTAGCAATGCCAATTCCGCATTCCACTCCGGTAAGTCTCCCAGGATAAGCACAACTGTTTCCTTTATCATTTCCCAGTATGGGATGATAGCTCTGCACTCCCACCAGATGTGTAACACTGTGCCGCGTGTTTCCTGGCACCTCCAGCACTCCGGGGGGAATTGAAGGGAATATGTGGTGCAGGAAAATTTGTGTTCTATACCATAAGGAGATCAGTTTGTAGTTCATTTCCTAGTAGTATGAGCTCATAGAGCTCTTATGCTGCCAGAGCAACACCGTGTCCCATTGCTGTGTTGTGAGTGATATTCCAAGTTGTTCTTCCTATTGCCGTTTGAACATTGTAGCCGTAGGCGTGCCTCCGATTAGTAGATGTTGATGTTGATATAGTGCCGAGATTGCATGTTCTATTGTGGTGCCTTGGTCACAGAGGCCTTCAAACCACGTGAGGTCCCTGTGCAATCGATCTTTGTGTGGTTGCGAATCGTAAAAATGTTTCAATTGTAGATATCTAAATTGGAGGAGAGGGGTCCGCGGTCTGTCACCCAACATTGATGGATGGTCCCGCAGTCTCCCGTCTTCGAGGGCCTTATGTATGGGTATGTATGCCCCAGTGTCCTGGATGGGCAATGCTCCAGGAGGAAGTCCCCCCCCCTATGGCCATGTTATGCGTGATCGGTATCATTGGGCTGGGCATGGGGGATATGTGGTCTTGTGTTCTCAGCGTTTTCCAACCATGTAGGGTCTGTAGGATCAGTCCTTCCTCAGAAAGATGAGTTGGCGATCTTCCAGGGCCTCCCCAGATCTTTGCCTCCATCGTTGGCCCGATGAGACCCCTGTCGAGCTCCACCCATTGTTTAGTCTTCTGTGCTAAGTGCCAATCCAGTATACGTTGCATGATCGTGGCCTGGTGGTATTTCCTAAAATCTGGTAATGCTAGCCCCCCGTAAATTCTAGGTCGGCAGATGATGTTGTGTCGAATCCTGGATTGCGAGAGGTATAGTCTGCATGAGAGATAGGATCCTCGGGAGAATATTAATTTTGATCACCGCAATCCTCCCATGCCATGTTGTGTGTGGATAAGACCATTTGGACAGGTCCGCGAGTACGTTCTTTTGTAAGATGTAAAATTATGTTGATATATGTCCCCCGGGGTCGTGGTCACCCAGATGCCCAGGTATTTCATCTTGTCGCGGCACCAGTGGAACGCAAATTCCGATTCCAAAGACCGGTACTCATCTGTGGGGAGTGTTAAATTCAGGAACTCACATTTCGAGACGTTAAGCTTAAATCCAGATATCTGTCCGAATCTGTCAAATTCGGAGAGGAGACACGGTATTGTGATCCTGGGGTTGCGGACAAAGAAAAGGAGATCATCTGCGTACGCAGCCACTTTATGTTGTATTCCCTGCCAGTCATATCCCTGTATGTCCGGATTTTGGCGGATTGCCTGTAGCAGTGGCTCCAAGGTCAGCGCAAACAGCAATGGTGAAAGTGGGCATCCCTGTCGGGTCCCATTGTTTATCGCGAAGTCCGCGGTCGTGGCCCCATTAATCCTCATGAATGGCAGATATCGACGTAAGGAGTCTCTGACCGCAGCCTAGCCGTCTCAGTGTCGCCAGCATATATGTCCAGTTGACCCGGTCAAATGCTTTTTCCGCATCTGTGGATAGCAGGAGCAACCGGGTCCCCAATTTCTTCGCGTGGTGTTGGATAGAGAAAAGTCATAGGGTGCTGTCCCTAGCTTCCCGACCTGGGATGAATCCCGTCTGGTCCGCGTGTATCAAGTCGGGGAGGAGATGTTTAATTCTGGTTGCTTGAACTTTCATGAACAGTTTAGCGTCAACATTTAGCAGTGAGATCGGTCGGTAACTGCTGCAGTAGAGCGGGTCCTTCCCTGGTTTAAGTAAGACTGTGATGGTGGCTGCTAGGGATTCCCTACCCAGGTTTCCTCCCTCACCTACCGCGTTGAGAGCCTTGGTGAGCCAAGGCAGCAATACTCCCGAGAAGTTTTTATAGTACCCCGTGGAAAAACCATCCGGGCCAGGAGCCGTGCCGGTTTTGGATGACTTAAGGGCTGCAGCTAATTCTTCCACGGTGATCGGTGTGTCCAACAGTGTTGCCGAGTCCTGATTAATCATGTTTGTGACTGTGTTGGAGAGGAAGTCCTGTATTTTTTCGTGTTCTCTTGCGGCCTCGGTGACCCCTTTAGGCACGTATAAATTATAGAGGTGTTCGTAGAAAGACCTGAACTCCCCTGCAATATTCTGTGGGAAGGGAGAGACCTCCCCCGAGGCCAGGTGAATCCTACGTATTTGTCTATGGGGCAAGGGGCCTTTTAGTAGTCTCGCCAGGTATTTACCTCCTTTATTGGCGTGTATGTAGTAAAAGCCTTTCGTGCGTTGTACGGATCGGAGATGTCTTTTCAAAATAAGGTCTTTGAGTTTTCTTCTGTGTTCCATTAATTCTCTGTAAACTGCGTTGAGCTGGGAGCGTTTGTGTTGGCGCTCCAGGGTCGATATCGATTGATATAAATCGACCATTTCATGCATGAATGCCTTCCGTTTCCGGGAGGCAATACGTATGAGTACACCACGTATCACACTCTTGTGGGCTACCCATATGGATATTGGGGAGGTCTCCGGGGAGTCATTTTCCCTAAAGTATTGTTCTAATGCTTGTTGAGTTTGTTCCTTGATGTCCAGGTCTAGCAGTAGAGCTTCATTAAGTCGCCAGGTCCATGCCGTCGGTCTGTACAGGGGTGAATCCAATTCTATCTCGACCGATCCATGGTCCGACCAAGTGCCTGTCTCGATCTTAGCTCCGCATAGGTGGGAGAGACCTTCCTGTGCAATGAGGATATAGTCTATGCGGGAATATCGATTGTGAAGGGCAGAGTAGTAGGTGAAGTCTTTCACCGTGGGGTGAAGCGTTCTCCAGCAGTCCACTAGCCTCATGCTTCCATTGACTGTCGGATAGATCTAATGTTATGTTGCGAAAGACAACTATGACCCGTGTAGGAGTCCAGTGTTGGGTCAAGCGGGGTGTTAAAGTCGCCTCCTATCAATAGTATCCCATCCGTGAAGTCTTCTAGTTGATGTAAAGCATTTCGGATGAATGGGGCTTGCCTTTTATTAGGCACATAGATGGTCACTATTGTGTATATCTTATCTGCTATGGTGCCTTTAAGGAAGAGATATCTTCCCTGTGAGTCCTGTATTCGTTCTATTTCTTTAAATTCCAGCTCAGCCGCTAATAATATGGCTACTCCAGATTTATGAGCTATTGGGTGATTGCAGAAGTAATTGTTAGAGTAATGCCTATTCTGTAGTCTAGGGGGTGATCCTTCCTTGAAATGCGTCTCTTGGAGCATAGCTATCGCTACATGTTTTTTCTTAAATTCTCGTAGCAAGTGTGTCCTACGTTCAGGGATGTTGAGTCCTCTGCAATTCTGTGTTATAATCTTTAAAGGTGCGCTTTGGTAGGCCATTTTCTCTATATGTGTTGGGTACAGTTCCGGTCTAATGCGGGATCCGGGGGCTCCCCTGATGCTCCGCCACCCCAGGGAGGGCCACGCGTCTGAGGCACAGGCCGAGCCGGGGCGCGGAAGTGGGTAGGGGAAGGAAGTGGGGGGGGGCGAGGGATAATGGGGAGGGAGAGAGAAGGAGATGGGGGTTGTAGCAGGTGGGCGAGGGGGAGGTCTCGCGCAGTAGCCAGTGCCAACAGGGGCTCGCTCTGGTACCAGCCCGAGAGTCGAGGGTCCCCGAAGTCTGGCCACAAACCTCTTAGCGCGAGTGTATGTGTTAGGGAACGTGACTCGAGCTCCGCCCAGATAAGGTATTGAAGAATAAATATGGGGCTCTCAGCTCCACTGCGACCCCCAGAGTCATAGTTGAATGAATAGCAACAGCTTGCGTACATTGCGCATTCACATTTAAGGCATATAAGCATTAACATTGAATTAACATATTTACATACATCGAGCCTAAGATAGCTTTCCTTAATCCAGAGCGTCCCGTCATTCCCCACTTGCTCCCCCCAGCAGTGAACACCCTTCCAACAACCATTCGCACTAGTCGCCCCAAGTCAACCTCCCACACCCAATGGGTTGCCGAGTAGTAGCTTCCTTAGATCCAATAGTGTTATGATGTCTTGTTTTGTGATCCTCTGGTTCATCTTATAACTGTCCCTTGGACTCCTGATCCTATAACTAAATGCAAGTTATACGGTACTCGTATTACTCGCTCCATCCCTGTTCCCATTGGTTCCTATGAGGTGGGGGGCGCATATATGGGTGCTTGTGTCAGCGGGGTGAGTGCTGGTTTGGGTGTGTGGCTATAGGTAGACAAGAAAATGTAATTAAGCAATTGTGGCTTATGTGGGTCTGTTTCCTGGTCTATCTGCATGTCTACGTAATTGTTAGCAATGAGGTCTAGATTATTTCGGGTAGCAGTATGTGTGCCCACCCTATCATTTCCGAAGGACAGATACATCTAGAAAATGCAATGGGGCCTGGTTTGGGTGCTACCAGCTGCTTCTACCTGATGCTTCTTGGGTACAGCGGATTTGTGAGATTGGGTGTAGCGGTGGTTGTGGGTCAGTCAGCGTCAGGGTATATTAATATGCATCATTAACAATCAAGATTATTCCCCTCTACCTCCCCTCCCCTCCCCCCCACCCCATTCCATCCCCGTGGATCAAAGTTGCTGTGTCTAAGTGCAAGTGGCCCAGATTAATGTCCTCGTCTGCGGAAGAATGTCCCCATCACAGCATTTGCGTCCAGGGTTTTCTGGCTTTGTGCTGGTTATCGAGCAGGACTTTCGGTATCCGCTACCCTTTGCCCCCCACATCCCACCCCCAAGGTATTGTCCGCCAACTCCATGTTGGGCATCAGCCGTGATATAAATTCAGGGGGTGGTCCAATTACATGTCCCGTATGCTTGCTCCAGGGGTATATCAGCCCCCATATATGCCCACAAGCCCAATTACCAGTGTACCTGAGGGTGTACCGTACACCAATCCTGCTCATCTAGGACATCGGGAGGTAGGAGTGGGTCGCAGGCGTCCAGTGGTAGGAGTCCAGTTCACTAGGGTCATCCGCGTTAGTAGGAGACACTGGGTATCGGCCTGGGTATGCTACCAAGAGGCGTTGTGTGGCGGTCGTGGACGTGGGTGGATAGGCGTATTCACTCCTCTGGGGATGTCGGATCTCCGCGTCTTCCGGTGTTTTGAGCCAGATGAGTCCTCATATCCCGTTGCCTAGGCCCTCTCTGCGGTCTCAGCTGCGGGCCTAATGTTCCCAGTATCCAATTGGGGACCGACGGTGAGGGGAGGCCCAATTCGCCCATGAACCGCGGCACCTGGCCATCTCATGGTGACTCATCTGTTCTGGTGTCTGGCCATCAAGGCAAAGGGGAATCCCCATTTATATGGTACGTTGCGGTCTCTTAATGTTGCTGTAACCGGGCGAAGAGCCTTCCTGGCCTCCAACGTTATGGGGGATAAGTCATTATAGAGCGAGACTTGAACTCCCCTAAAGGGCCAGGTCTGCCTTTCCCGGGCTTTTGCCATGATGGTGTTCTTCACCGGGAAGGAGTGTAGGCAACATATTAGGTCCCGCGGCCCGTCTTCAGCAGCTTGAGGTCTCAAGGCCCTATGCGCCCTCTCGAATTCTATCTCTGGCGGTGTGGATGGTTGCAGTAGAGAACGGAATAGTTCTGTTAGTATTTCCTCAGCGTTTTCTGTCCCTTCGGTTTCTGGCACACCACGGACCCGAATGTTGCATCTCCTGCCTCTGTTGTCTACATCTTCAAGATGTCGACGCATGGAGAGCAACATCTCACCTTGGCGTGCTACAGCTGTATCAGTAGCTGCCACGCGGCCCGCGTTTGCCTCCACCGTCGCGGTAATGCAGCCTGCTTGCGTGGTTAGATCCGTGCGGATCCCGGCGACCTCTGTCCGCAATGTGTCATGAATGGTGTTTGTTATAGCCTGTAGGTCGGCTTTTGTCACCATTGAGGCTGTCAGGTCCCGCAGGGTGCCCTCAATCCGGTCTAGGGCCGGCATCCCCTGTCCCGGGGTGGATGACGCCGCCATCTTGGGGCTTGCAGAGTCTCCGCTCGCCCCGGGCTGCTGCTGCAGGTATCCGTCCAGCGGGCCCTGGGTGGTGTTCCTTGGGGTCTGGGGCTGCTTCGGGCGTTTAGTGCGCCCCATTAAGCTTAGGTTGCTTGCTTTTAGCGCTATATTGGGGTCCGGCGGAACGGAGCTCACTCCTTACGCTGCCATCTTGGTCAGAGCCAGAACCATGCCCCCCCCCAACTGTATTTTGATATTAATATCCCTGTATATTGATATCAAAATACACGTAGAACTAAATAATATATATGGATAAATGGATCATCTTCCAACAAATATTACAAAGGTACATTTCTCAGTATGTACCGTTGGGAAATAAATATAAAAGAAACAAATTAAAACCAATGTGGCTTAGTAGAGAAGTAAAACAAGAGATTACAACTAAGAGAAGGGCATTTAAAGCATTTAAATCGGACAAATCAGATGCATCTTATAAAAGATATAAGGATGCAAATAATGCGTGCAAAAAGGCAATTAGACTTGCTAAACTTCAAAATGAAATAATGATAGCTGAAGAGAGCAAAACCAACCCCAAAGCATTTTTTAAGTACATAAATTCTAAAAAAAAACAAAATGAAAGTGTAGGTACACTAAAAACTGAAACGGGGGTGTTAATTAATGAAGACCAGGAAAAGGCAGGAATTTTAAATAACTATTTCTCCTCCGTATATATTAAGGAAGAACCCATGGCAATAGATGTGCAAATGATTGCTACTAAAAACTTGCAGAATAATTGTAATTGGTTAACTCAAGACAAGGTGCTGCAGCAACTAAAGAAAGTTAATATAAACAAAGCTCCAGGGCCTGACGGTATCCATCCACGTGTACTTAAGGAACTAAGTGCAGAAATAAGTGAACCTCTGTTTTTAATCTTTCAAGATTCTTTTCTTTCAGGAAGTGTTCCGGAGGATTGGAGGAAGGCAGATGTGGTTCCTATATTCAAAAAGGGTTCAAAATCCTTGCCTGGAAATTATAGACCTGTGAGCTTAACTTCTGTGGCTGGTAAAATATTTGAAAGGTTATTAAGGGATAATATTCAAGAATTCCTTGAGAAGAACATGGTTATCAGCAAAAATCAGCATGGTTTTATGAAGCACAGGTCATGTCAAACTAACTTGATTGCGTTCTACGAAGAAGTAAGTAGAAGTATAGATCAGGGTGTTGCCGTGGATGTGATCTATTTGGATTTTGCCAAGGCATTTGATACAGTTTCACACAATAGATTAGTGTTCAAACTCAAGGAAATCGGTCTAGATGAAAATGCTTGTTCTTGGGTAGAACATTGGCTTAAAAACAGAGTACAAAGAGTTGTCATTAATGGTAAATTTTCAAGCTGGACAGAGGTGGCAAGTGGTGTCCCTCAGGGGTCTGTTCTGGGACCCCTTCTATTTAATATGTTTATAAATGATCTTGAAGACCGCATTGAAAGTCATGTTTCAGTGTTTGCAGATGACACCAAACTTTGTAAAACAATACAATGTGAGCAAGATATTACTTTGCTGCAGAGGGACTTAGATAGACTGGGGGACTGGGCACTCAAATGGCAGATGAAATTTGATGTTGAAAAATGCAAAGTTATGCACTTCGGCATAAAGAATACAC